GCACATGGAGTAGATACGAAAGAGAGTGAAAGGGAGAAGAAAGCAAGGGAATGGAGAGTATTAGAGGAAGGAAATAAGATTTAAATTTTTAAAGTTTAAGGACCTATTGTTTTTCAAATTTAAAAACTTTCAGGATCACTTTAACAATATTCATTTGAAGTCTAACTTGGTTGGGTTGTGTCACTAGGTGGGACTAACGGAATAGATATTCAACGACACAGGTAAGAAAATTGTCATCTTAGAGTGAATCCCCTTAAATGATAGTGTTGGGGGACCAATAACCTTTAATTTATAGGTGGGTCTAAGGTCTAATAACTGTACAAACCGTAAGTTGTGGGGCTATATGAGGAGTTAAGCCATCTACAAATCTACAATCTACAAATTCCTTAATTTTCTTCCAATAAGGGCCCATCTAACCCAGCCACCCATTACACTTCCTTCATGTGAGTTTTATGCGTTCCAGAAGGTGCGTTTTTGGTTTTTCTAAACAGCATTTTGTTCCATTTTTGACACGGCATCTAAACAAGCTGGCCCATCAGTTTGCGTTTTAGCTCTTCTCCAGTCCATCCACGTTCGTCCACGCACCGCTCGAAACTCCCTACCAATTTCTCCTTTTCCCACTCCGTCGGTGAAAAGGATGGCTAATGCAGAAGATTTACAGGAAAAAGGAAATTGGCCAATAAAGATTAATCAAGACAACCATTTGAAGATAACTGCAAGCAGATCTGAAACAACTCTGCCGAAATTTTTCATCAGCCTAACAATTTTATGATTTAAAATTAACAGATCTTTTAAAATTTATATTTCAAGTTATTAGTAATAATTAATCATATATATTAAAATCATTTAAAATTTTCCATTGATATTTAGCGTCACAGTTTAAAATTAAATTGATTAATTTTGTATACTTAAAATCTTTCATGTCCACCATTTATCTTTTCTGGAATTAATACATTTAAATTACCAATTATATAAAAAAAATTTGAAATATATATTTAAAGTTAATTATTATTATAAAAATTTATACTTAATAAAAATTAAAAAATACACAAAATATAGCTTTAGGTCTAGTTATTATTTGTGAGCGAAAGTTATCATATTGAAGTTTTTTTAAAATTTATT